AATCCGCCCTGAGTCCCCTGTGGGGTGAGAAGGGCGGAATATAAATACTGTAAATAAATAAATAATAAATAACAGCAGCTGTACATTTTGACTTAGATATTTGCTGTGGAATAAGCTGGTGTTATGTGTGTCTGCCAGATACTCATTGGGTGGGGTGCAGGTTTCTGGGGACCGTGGCTTCCTGGCTCTAGTTCAGCAAAATACTTCTGCCACTGAGAATATTTCAACTGCCAACACAAATATTCAGGGGAAAGGTTCAGTAAAAGCAAACAAGGATCCCATTAACAAAATGCACAGTACCTGTCAATTCACTCTCTAGCTTTTCCGTCACATTCATTAGGCAAATCAAATATGATCTGAAGCCATTATTAGGTGACATCTGTATAAACACATTTTCAAACTCTGCAAAGAGAAACCTGAGACAAACAAAAGTGCATGGGGTCAGCTTCTTAATGTGACGCAGCAGACATTACAAACAGCTTTCCAAGGATGTTTTAAACTAAGAAAATTCTGCAGCTACTCAGATTGGAACAACTGTGGCGCAATCATCTTAGATCTAGATATGTAAAGATTCAGGAGAAGAAACTGGCACTCACTCCCTTTTTTTCAGAGTCCTTTTCCCAAAAGAAAATTGAAACATTTTCAGCTTTTCTATGACAAGGAATATTATTTTCCAATACTCCTGGCCATGATAATAGGTACAATTCCCATTAATCCTGGGAACTGGCCATGCTGACTAGGATTTTTGGGAGTCTGAAGTAAACAAGAGCCTAAATTCTGTTTTAATTCCTGACTGGAGCAGACCCATTGAGGCAAGTCACAAATAAACCAAATTATTTCGTTGATCAATAATATATAGTCAGGTGTTATGTGGTTTCTGGGCTGTATGGCCGTGTTCTAGCAGCATTTCTCCTGATGTTTCGCCTGCATCTGTGGCTGGCATCTTCAGATCCTCTGAAGATCTGAAGATACCAGTCACAGATGCAGGTGAAACATCAGGAGAAAATGCTGCTAGAACATGGCCATACATCCCAGAAACCACACAGCACCCCAATGATTCTGGTCGTGAAAGCCTTTGATAATACAATAATATATGGCTTTGTGGTCTGAAATAAATATCATTTTTTTTTTAGAAATAGTTTTTATTGCAGAAGATTTTAATATATACAACATAAAATGGGGCGTGGGGGGGT